TTGAGGTTTGTACATTGTTTATCTCGCAATAGTACCATAGTGCCTTGCTAGTTGTTATCATTGAGTTTGAAGTGCGCGTGACTGCTGGATACAGTCGGAGAAGTCAAGAAGACGAAACAGGCTGCCTCTGCATTTCCTGGTCACAGCGTATCGGAGTACTTCAAAATATCTCGGCAACGCTCCAATCCCACCAGTGTAAAAAGATATGCGGTATACCAAAACCGACATCTAAATGCGACAGTGACCTTGCAGGACGCGAAGGAACTTCACCTGCCAAGTATTTGAACAGCATTGAAAAGGGAACATTGAGTCGGTACAAGCGAAAATGCGGCTTTTGGGCAGCCGCTGCAAAGAAGAGGCACGATTGCGTCTCTTTGTCGGAGAGAAAATAGCGTGCATTGAACGAACTGTCGTTTCACAGGAAACAATGTCTGCGGACGGCAGTTTTTCTTATTTATACAGGGCGGGGAATACCTAATTTCGGAAAAACTCGCCCCCGGCAATTTAAGAATACAGCTTTCTGGCCACGTGAAAGTCCTGAAGATGATAGTGTGCGCGTATGCTAAACGGGTGGTTTTGTGCAGCGCTTGGACATCTCTATCTACTTTCCGATCACACTACGAAAAGGTTTCGGAACTGTACAGGGCGGCAATTGAGAGCAAACTGGATGGGAGGCAAAATTTCTCATGCAATACTGTTGTTGCTTGTGACTGTTTTACAGGCAACCTTTCTTTTCCAGATCTGTGTCCATATTGGCCACACATACTTCATTGTTAATTATCGTTTTTTTGTCAGAACCCAGCACATCCTTATTTGGTGGAATACCCTTGGCGAAGGGTGTTGTGAGATTCGTCCCTTGCGGACGTCCGGGGTAGCCTGTAGCGAAGTTAATATACAAGCCGTAATTCTCGGGTTCCCGGACATCTTAACAGAACCGATTGCTATACATCCACCGGCACCAAGCAGGGAATATACGGAACCGCTGACCACTGATCAATGACAATCGTCCCACAGTTCAAACCAGTTCGCCTATTTAGGATGCACAACAACGAGGAGTAGCAAAATTGACAAGAAAATTACAGCCGAGATCTTCAGAACAAACCAGTTTATTGGCATATTTAATTGTCTCGGCGACCCCGTTAACGCCCAACTGAGAATATACAAAGCAGCCAGCCCGATGACATTTGTCAACAGGGCGAAGACTTATACAGTCCAAAAAAACCAGGTGAGGAAGACCAAACACCACAAATTAAGTTGCTTTTGGATGATCCTTAACGTGAGGTGATAGAACAAAACGCAAATACCGGGAGTAGACTGACATGATCAGCCTCCTGCAACATGGAGACAGTCAGAATTAAAGGTCGTCAAGATGGGAGACATTCCTCACAATAACAGTCAGTCGAGTCTTCTTACCAGGCGTTCAATCGTGGCCGCGAAGCCTGCAATGGCATTGTACACCCTTTTGAGAACAGGTCCTCATTCGAGGCAGTTATGTTTGTCAGAAATGTTTAGAATTCAGATGTCGTCTGCAACACTGCAGCAACGCATAAAAATTTCATCAAGAAAGAGGCCGGGGCACATGATCATTTTGCTTAGGCTGTCTGTTTGCCTAATGCACTAGAACATTTTTCAGACGAAAAAATTTTAAACATAAAGAGGGCGGGTGGAGGGTCCCGTAGGGGGTGAAGAGTACTCACTTGAAATCGGAGGCGTATTGGACGAGGATGGACGGTGTTTGGTACTGGCGATGCCGCCAGTAACTTCGGCCGTTGAAGACGAGGACGGATCAAAAATATTAAAAAAGCCTACCTTGTGACGCTTGGCAGATGGAGGCACTGACGAGACTGGACCTGAGTTAGAGCCACTGTCGCTGTGATCAGAAGAGGTGGCTGAAGTGGGCGGGAGACCACTATAAACCCCACCACCAGCACCAGAATGAAGCGAAACTTCTGTTAGAGGTGAGGATGCAGAACCCAGACTTGAGGGTGCGGAGATGCGTGGACGTCCCGTTGTGAAGGAGGAACGCTACCCAAAAAAAACAAACGGAAAAGTACCAAATTCGGCGAAAACTAAAATACACCTTTACTAGCTGATCAGATTCTGAAGAGAGGGGGGCTAGCAGTGTGGCGCGTATGGGTTCAGCCTCCTATTCTCGAGGGTTATGGCTTCTAGGTCCGTTGGACGACATAATGCCGTTCATTACTCGTCCATCTGCACAAACGTCTTGGTCATAAAATCTTTATGCACACCCCAACTATTACCATCTCAACAGAACTGACTTTCGCCAGCTTGCCAACAGAAAGTTAACCTATGCAATCTACGGAGTGATCAAATTCAAAAGACAGAAACCAAAGTGCTTACCAATATTCCCCATTTTCGCTTTGACGTTTCCTTAGAAAACGGTTACACGCACAGATATTCGCATGTTAAATATGTAATATGAGGACTTTTAAAAAGGCAACTTACTATAGGTTTTTCGATTGATCTAAGGCCTAACAATATTGGGCTTTTGTTTTGGACGTTCTTGTTATTTGGTATCTTGGGCAATTTATAAATATGTCCCACGTGGCCATCTTCATAAGAATTAATATCCAAAAAGTCACGTTTTCGGTAAATTTTTCTTAAGAAAGATCTTACTTTGAAGGCTTGGTAAACACGTCGAGCGGAATCGACATTTATGAAAGAGGGGTATGTG